CCATTTTTTCTACTAAAACTGGCTGAATCCCACCACTGGTATAGGGCCTCCTGCTTCAGCAGGGAGCTGGACTAGAAGACCTCCAAGATTCCTTCCAGCTCTGTTCTGATTGATTGACTGATATAAATGTCCCTCTGACTCTGCTTTGGAGAGTATTTGGAGTGGGGAGGGGGGATTAATCAACTACCTGCCTGTTTTAGTAGAAAAAATGGGCAAGAATCCTCTTTCACTCTCATTCCAAGGATATGCCATGAAGCACAATGTCCTTATCACCTTTTAATACACAACAACATTTTTTCCCATTATTGTATAATATACTACTTTTTTGTAAAAGCTGATTTTGTAATCTCCAAAATGGCTATCAATGGAAAGACTAAAAGGATTGCTTGTCATGTGCCTGAATCATGCCACTGACAAAGAAAATCAGAAGAATGAGCTTCAGTTAAAAATCTTTCTACTTCAGAATTATCTAGAATTTCAATAGAATGGTTATAGCAGTTTCTACCCATTAGCTAATCACATAAAGCAATAAAATAATTGTTGACAGATATAGGAAGATAAATGCTGAGGAATAGTCTTTAAAACTATTGGTACCTTGACATTTTAGTACTAGTACTACCAGTGCTCAGAAATCAGTTATTCTTAATGGTAGAAATTAGTTGTCATTTAGATAAAATGCTTTTTATATATTAAATTATATAAATTAAAATGTCAAGGGATTTTTTTAGATCTATTTGTATATGGTAAAGCTATTTGGAGAATAGCAAATATATTTTGTTTAGAAGATTATGGCAGTTTTTACAGTATGCATATTGTTTTCCATTTTGGAACTGAATCTAAAAGGAACCCATTGCCAATGGAATATCTCTATGACTGAAACTCTGGTTTAGATTTCAATTTTAATTTTTTTACATGCAGGTTTTAAATACCAATGATTCTGATAATGATTTCTTGCTTAATGAAAACTTATTTGTCAGCCATCAGCACAAAGGCATCTTGAAGTATTTTCTACAAGTTTTTCTCTTCACATAGTAGTGAGTATCATTTACAAAAAAAAATAGGACACAGAAATATATTTACAGATGGAAAAGAATTCAGTAAAAGCAAGGGATTCCTAAAAGTTGCATAGAAAAATAGGAATGTTGATGGAAATAAAAATTGTTTTGCAGGAGGGTAAAAAGGGTTAAGGAGGAGTTTCTACCAGAGTGAACTGAAAAGCGATGAAACTGAAGTAAAAGACGATAGAAGATATTTTAAAGATTTGTATGGGAATAATATGATGTTGAAGAACAGAACTGAAACCCAGACTATAAGTGTTATTGTTCAAGAAAAAAAATTAGAAAGAAAACCCTAAAACAGTGTTTCTCAACCTTGGTGACTTTTAAGTCCTGTGGACTTCAACTCCTAGAAACCCTACATACGTGGATTTAGCGAAAGTGTCTAATACTATAAAAAGGCTTGAATCATG